ATTATTATTATTATTATTATTATTATTATTATTATTATTATTATTATTATTATTATTGCGTGCTCTTTCTTTTTAAGAATAATGCAAAAATTAGTTTGCTTTTTTTTTTTAGATTCCTTTTAATATTGTCGGTATTAAAATTATTATTTATTGAATTTCATAAATCAGCGTCGTTTTCACAAATATATTCGTGAATTTCATATGTATTTAGTTAAGTGTTTGATATTATTATGAGCTTACGGAAATTCTATTCTAATTGCATTTATCATCTCCTTCTTAACGACACGGCTTTATATTATTCATAAAATCAGTAACTTTTCTTCTCTATAAAACTTCACGTTGATATACATTATATTAAAAACTTTGTTCTCCCTTCGTCTCTTCAAACACATAGCGATATACAATAATTACAAAAATTTTCACAAACTAATGATTCATCGTGTATATATATATATATATTATATATTATATATGCATGGATGTGATTTTTATCGTTTGTTTCCGCTTCATATATATTAAAAACGTAAACAAACCACAAGAGATATGGCGTAAGCATAATAAGTGATATGACAAAGAGAGGTATGATTAATGCGGTTGACGCTTTGATATATGTATATAGTTATGGTATATGGATATTTTTATGGTTCTCTCGATTGCTCGTTATACTGAAAAGTTACTTTTCTAGCTGACAAAGTTATATTCCTTTGTATATTAATTTTAAGATTATCCTCTTGATGGGCTTAGTATCAGGAAACAATGTTACCATTCGGTTTAATGTTTACACCCATACAGTTATGGCCTTATTTTGTTAGATTTACTCTGTAACCGTAAGAATTTCCAAACGATGTGCAAGACAGTTTATAATTAATATTGACTATTTAAATTTTAATTTAATTTTCATTCTAGTGTACTTTGTATTTATTTATTTTTAATTTTTTTTTCTTCTTTTTTCATTTATTTATTTTATTATGGATTTTTGGAGCCTCAAGCTCATAGCGCGCAGCCGTTAAACCGAAAATCTCACTTTGTACCTGGGATATTACATGATCCGTCGTTTTTCATTAGCCTAGTACCGACAGTCTATACTCGAAAGATTCAATAACTTATGATTTTTTTAAAAATTATTTTATATTATTCTTCGTCTCACAGAGCTTAGATAAGTATTTTATTAATAATGAAATTACATTATATATATATATATATTATAATAAGTTATTGTAGCATTTTCATATCGTTATGTACAAATGGACCTAAGAAACGTTCGTAGTAAATATTTGCCAATGACGATGAATGGAAGAGTTACGATTTCAATTCAATTTACTGTTTTATTTCGCTAAAATTGATCTTTCGTGCGAAAGTGAATTTTTGTGAAAAGCGATATAATGCCATGCGAAATCGAACATGCTTGTACATATATATATATATATATATATGATTGGATGTAGTGTTCATGCGTTTCTGGCTATGTGCGCGTGTGTTTGTTTGCTTGTTTTTTTGTGTATAGGTTGTGTTCCATAATATGAATATGAGATTTGGATAATATGATGTGATTAATATAAACAATTTAAGCACTTATTGTATATGAGTGGATTGTGCTTTGATCGATTGTATATAACGTTTGTATAGAATGTTATATCTTTTAAATAAATTTTTATATATTTATAGATAAATTCAACATAAATGACGAAATTATTCTTTTCTTCAATTTATCGTTTATTTATTTTATTTTTATTTATTTATTCTTATAATTTAGTAAAAATCTAAATACATACGTAACAAAATTAAATGATTGTTGTATTAAAAATACTGTATACGTCCTATAAGCAGTGTAATTTTAAATAATAATTCAATTAATTTATTAGAAATTATTAGAAATTCATATAGCACGTCTACTGATTCCGTTTTTTTTTATGTCTTACGAGGACATACACGAAATCTGTCGAATTCAATTATCAAAGAATTTTAATGGATGGCCCTTTTTGAAGTTTAATCTAAATACAAAATAACTGTTCGTATGGACCAGTGGCAAGATTTTCGAATGGAACTAATGTTAAATCAAGACACACGACTTGGTCGTATGAGCATTGCGATTGTCGACGGAAGCATTCGACTTCTTCGAACGTCGGCTACCCACTTACACACTACCCATTACCGAACGACTTGTCGCGCTTACATGATCAGATGCTTACGTAATTGCGAGTGTAAGAGTGGCTGAAGTAATTATGAGCAGCTGGGAACAAAGCCTTCGAAGTTATTCGCCCGAGTATAAGATAGTTGTGGTCTCGGATGTTGCGATTGAATAGAAAGTTAGGGAGGACTACCGACAAGTTAATGCAGAATTATGTCGATATGAGTTTATGTAATGATATAGGGTAAGAATTTTGTTGATGTTGACTATGAATGATGCGCTTGCTTGATAGCATTGGACTTAAACGTACGTATTATTAACAATTGGTAAAGTATTATTAATTGTATATTATTTTTAACTATTAGCATCATCGGGTGTAATATTACCCTTTGAGGAATTGTCATAATGATAAATTTAATTAAAGACAAATTGAATATTAAAAATGATCTATCGTATCAAGGAAGCGTACGTGAGTGGCAAAATGTTTTTTCAATATAATACAACAGTGATGTACAAGAAGCGTAGATATATGCTAAGATGCGATAAAAAGATGCCCAAGGATGAAGTATGCACGCAGCTGAGTAGATTTTTTATTAAATAAAAAACAAATCACACACATATATATATATATATATATATATATATATATATATATATGTATAATAAATAAACTATAAATAATATTTAAAGATAAGTTCAAAGTAAATTATTAAATCAATTAGGTTGCAATGATGACAATAATGATAATGATGATGAATACCGATGGAAATAGTAATAGTAGTTATATCAGTAGTAGTAGTAGTAGTAGTAGTAGTAGTAGTAGTAGTAGTAGTAGTAGGAGTAGGAGTAGGAGTAGGAGTAGGAGTTGTATTAGTAATAGTAGTTATAGCAGTAAAAGTGGTAGTAGTAGTTGGAGTAGGATTAATAATAATAATGACAGCGTAAACATGTGAAAATGCATGTACAATCAAAGAATAAAGTGATCGTGATGGAGAGAGAGAGAGAGAGAGAGAGAGAGAGAGAGAATGAGAGAGAAAGGAGTGGAATAGAGTTAGTGGCGGCGGTGGAGTGAAGGGGGCGACTCTTCGGTGAGGTACATGGATTACGTTACCCTGAGGCTGGATCGGCGTCGGTCGACCGTGCTGTTGTTGGTGCCCTGGCCGAGGGTGTGATGAATGGGAGCGCCGAGGGAGGACTGCCGATGCTGCAGGCTGTTGCGGACGCCCCGTCCGAGGCTGCCCCCGAAGCCGACGCTGCTCATGGGTCGAGGCGCGCCACCCCCGTTCCGCGGCACCACCTCCAGCTGGCCTCTACATACCGTATGTCATGCATCATCAAGCCCGGCTCATCGACCCCGACGAGGTGCTCCCGCGACCGGCCGATCGACGGCCTCTACCAACGATCGGCCATCGATCGGCCAAGTTTCTTTTGCCTTGTGGAAGCACCCGGGGTCCATCTCGCGGGGTGATTATTCGATAAACGCTCGTCAAGAAGTCGCGCGTCGGCCGTTTCATCGTTTCTCTCCGCAAAGGCGGTGGCAAAGTAAGGGACAGACACCGCGACGCACACACACACACACATGCGCGCGCGCTCATTCAAACATAATAACAATTATAATACTACTAATAATAATGATCATGATGATAATACTAATAGTAGTAATAATAGTAGTAATGATAATGATAATTTTAAGAATAGTAACTATTATCATAACAGTAATAGTGATAACAATGATAATCATAATAACAATGACAGCAGTGGGAGTAGCAGCAGCAGCAGCAGCAGCAACAACAGCAGCAACAGCAATAGCAACAGCAATAGCAACAGCAAGAGCACTAACAATGATAACAACAGTAGTAGCAATAATAACAACAACAATAATTACGACGACAATGACAAAAACAACGACGACAACAACAGCAACAACAAAAGTAATAATAAAATAATAATAGTAATGACATTAATGTTAGAAAGCGATCGTTGCTCTATGGGATTATGATTAATTGATTCATTTGGCTCGTTGTGGGTGGGGGGCGCGAAGGGCGGGAATCGGTGCATTCGCTGACATTTGTTAATAAGGAAAATATTACCAACTACATCCATTTATTTGAATTTTTCGCGTTTCCATTGTCTCTCGTGATAAACGTAGGGGAACGGTAAGGTCGTATCGCGAAACATTAAAGCCGAATAACGTCGCTTACTATGCATGACGTAACATCGAACAGACAGCAGTTCATGACCGTTCATAATATTACGTAATATGCGTATAGTGTGTGCATAATACGTATGCACGTGCGGTCGATAACTGACCGGTCAAACGGAACGTGATCAAAAGAAAATGCCAAGTGGCGAATATTTTTGGTCGATAATAATCGAGCTGTAGCGGCTTGTACCGACTTGGCCAAAAGCTCGGCGGATCGTAGCTTTGACAAAAACTTTTGCCGACATATGTTCAACAATTTTGAATAACGTTCATTTGCGCAATGCATTATATTTTCCCATTTTATTCAAGCGAAGAGGGAAATTTATAAAATGGAATTTTCTTGGATAATATTGTTGAGCAGTAAAAATTTGATCGAGACATTTGTGTAAGTAATGAGCGAACGAAGCCAATGGCAAAAATAGTTTAGTAATAGGTAGTAAAGTCGCGATTGGAGATTTAGCTATTTTACAGGAAATTTGCAATTAAAACTTTCTATCTAGATTTATCAAAATCTTCACGTGCACACGCGCGGACACAGAAACATAAAAATAAACAAACGGCCCATTTGTCTCAAGTAAAGTGACTTATTTTATTGCTCTCTCTCTCTCTCTCTCTCTCTCTCGAGAGAGAGAGAGAGAGAGAGAGAGGGAGAGATGGTAGAGATGGAGACAGTATCGGGTGAGTGCCGGGGGCTGGGGGGTGGAGGAGTGGAGAGAGCAAGAGCTCGATTTTACAGTGGAAAAATGTAATTAAAAATTACGGTAAAAATACGCTCGACGAAGCGACCAAGAAAATCTCCACAATTTCTAACGAGGAATCTAATCAATAATAATGTCCGAGTAAAATCATGAGATACCGAAGATTTCCGAGTAAATTAATGAAAGAGAAGGACAAATAAAAGGATAGAAGATGGGAGAAGGGTGCTGTACAACATAGCGCAAGTGCAGTGTAAGCAACGGCTGCGGCAATTATCTCGGCTTAATAGTTGCAGATGTATAACAAAGAGATTTCTTGCGAAAGAGAAGAAAATTGCATAATTAATATATAAATATATAAATGCGTGTGCATACATGCATATATGCAGCATACGCGTGCATGCTATTGCACACTTTTATTTTGTTTTTTAATCCAATTTGCTTTCCGAGATACGATTCGATAAACATAAATTTCGATAAACTAAATCGATAAACTAAAGAAACAAAATAATAAAAAAAAAAAAAAAAAAAAAAAAAAAAAAAAAAAAAAGCCACCTGGGGCTATGTTTTTTATCCCGAAACTTTGATGTAACGCGAGGGGCTCTAAATTATTTAAAAAGAGCATTGAGAAGCCGTAATTGTCGTATCGTAAGCATGTAGCTATCGTTAGTAAACGTAAGGGTAGGGTGGGAAGGGGGTGGGGTGTGGGTGGGGTCGGAGGGAGTGGTGCACAATGGATAAAGTGCATTTTGCAAGCTCGATAAAATAATAAGAGTGAAGTCAGTAAAATTGGCAAGTACACTGCTAATAATGGAATAAGCCAGCTTTTCCTGACGCACTCCTCTCCCATTTGACAAATACACTAATATCGTATATTGAAGATAATTAACGAGCGCATTATCCTATCGTCGTTTTATTATTATTCGGTATGTTTGAGATATATCAGGTATCGTAATTTCGTGTCACGTGCCATGTTAGTTTAACTTTAATGTAATTTTCAGCGTCGTTTTACAGCCAGAACGAGTAAAGGAAGTAACTACTTTCAGTACGCGCTCAGCTAACATTGTGAACTTCATCATTGCATCTGTCGTGTGTCTTAACTTTAGATAATTATATTTATTAATTCATGCGAATGATTAAATTTTCTAGTATTATTTATTGTAATACAGATATCCGTTAATAATTAATTATTCGGTAAAAATAGGTCAATTTCATAAAATTTCTATTTGAGTGCAGATCACACGTAAAACTTTTTTTAAATTGTCTCTGTCGTCTTAATAATTAAATAACAGACATTGTTCTTCCTATTTCTTAATCAACTGCGTTTACTTATATAATCGACGGTCTAAGAGAGTAAATATTATCATTACTTCGATTCCACTATTCGGCAAATAATTGCGATTATCCATTGTGCTTTACTCCCTTGTATGTTATGTAAGGTCAGTTACTAATAATACGTGCTATTTTAAATGTGTCCAAAGGTCTTATCAATGCTTTGTCACTTTTATCGTATAAAAACGACTCTACGTTATTATTATCATTTAAACGGACGAATATATTTTACGTAATTTTACCAATTTGCTTCACCTGTTATTTATATAATCATATTTTACAAATTACAAAATATGCACATTCTATTAAGACTCGAAACGATAACAATGTTTTTTCAAAATATTCATATAGAATGGTGTTATTGTTAAGAATTTAAGAAATAGTAAGCAAGTACACTAGCAAAATTTTCCTTCACTTTAATTTCGACAAATTTAATTCTACAATGCCGATATAATAATATTATAAATTAGAAACTTTTTTATCATAGCCTCTATAATTTTATACCTACGATATAATTCATAAAGAGTATAATAAAATTACTTTAGATAAATCAATAAGAATAAATATTCAATTGAAAATTTTCGACTTAATAAAATACAAAATACAAAATCCTCGTTGTGCCTATTAATTTAGATATAATTCCCGGAGGATTAATTTATATATTATATTATTATCATTGTTTTGGGAATGAATAAATTTCAATCGCGATCTTTACATTGTATCGATTAATAGAGATGAATTTTTTGTTTTTTTTTGTTTGCCGTGACAACAATGATTATTAAGACTAATCGCAATGAATCTCGGTATTCGTCCCTTAACATTTTTTTTTTTATTTTATTGAAAAAATGCAGTACCTCGAGATAATTACTACTGTTATTATACTATGCAATATCAAATGCTCATCTAAAGTTAATTTATCAATGATTTTATGAACATGTTGAAACAATTTAATCGATAACTGTAGCAAAATTTATTCGGAAAATTGCACGGGTAGATTTTCTGTTTCAGGAAATGCGAGACACGGCTATCCGAATGAGTGATAAAATGTCATAAATAGTATTAAATCGCGAGCGAGCGAGATTTACCACAATACTTATGTTATAATTTTTCACTTTCCTCATCTTGTCACTATTTCTCATTCTTAAAACACTAATATTTGCATATGCACATCATATGTCGAAAACTTATATCCATATAATCTTGCGTTGTTGTTGTTTTTTCTTTTCTTTTGATTTCTTATTTTTTGTTCTTTTTTTTGCTATTTTTTTTTGTTTTTTTTTTGTTTTTTTGTTTTGTTTTTTTTTTTGTTTTTCTTTTGGTTTTTTTTTGTTTTTTTTTGTATCTACGTGTGTGCAATACTGATGTTTTGTAATGAATACCAAACAATTTATATATTTATATGTATTGGAGCATGTATGAGAAAGTATACGATTATTAGAACATTCACTTAATTATATACACAAAAACGACGACCACTAACGGCATTTCCTTTTCTTTTTCGTGCAATAATATTCGCCAAATAGTAAAATTGTTTATGCCAATGAAAATTATACGATATTAGGTCGATGACATTTCAAGTAGACGTTTGGGATCGTCGTTTTTTTTCTTCATTTATTTATGAATTTTTTTTATTTTTATTCCAGAAAGAGCTGGATAGATGGAAAGTGTTTGCGATTCTCAAATTTAAGTTTAAGTTTTAATTATTTTTTTATTCGCTAATATACTGCAGTACAAAATCTCAATTCAACGGCTCATTTCTACACTAATTGTGAATTAAATTTAATCAACGCTACGATTTGTTCTTTTGATCACATGCTTTTTGTACTTTCATAAACTCGTCTAAAATTATTTCAATAGGAATTACGTATTTACTTAGTACAGTTAAAGGAATATATAAAATTTATAGTTTCATTGCACCGCTTATGCATATTACTTGGCTCAATTAATAAAACTTTTCCATATAAAATACTAAACAACTAAAGAAACTGAAGGCTTCAAAGCATTTATTAAAAATAAATACATTCATCAACGTACTGTTTTTACTTTTATGAAATTCGTATTTTAAATGCGAAACTTAATATGCATAAATTATGAAATTTTCAGAAACTCGACATTTTGGAATTAAAAATTATAATTTTTAATATCTATTATAATAAATGTAAAGTTGGAGCTAAATGTGGCTGTGGCGAGGTTTTTGTGGTTTTTTGAACGAAGATACGATTACTACTGAAACCAAAATATTTTAAATTTAATATCATAAATTTACAAACACTACGTAATATGGTTTACAGAAAAAGAAAAAAAAAAGCATTACCAAATTGATTAACTAAAATAAGATTGTTAATATGTAAAAACGGTAATTTTTACCTTTTGGCTAACGCAAGCGTAGCCATAATGTAACGGTAAAGTTGTGCGAGTTTACTTAAAGCCCAACGAAAGAAACGAATTAACTTTGCGTTTATTTTAATTAACGCGTTGCTTTAATTTATGCATTATATCGTCACGTTCTAAACGACTCCATCTGTCGGAAAAGTCAATTATTATGATGTATTATATTTTAAAAAACATAAAGTAAATATACCTCGCGCATAATAATGAGCTTAAAATATTTAAATTCATGCGCACGGAGATAAGAAATGACGAAGAAATTTTTCGTAACGGAAGATGAATTTCCAACCACGATAAGTCTTATTATTCTATAACAATTCTTTTATCTCCTGCACCACATTAATATGCACCTACCAAAGGTGTCGTATGCTCGAAATTCTCCGCCTACCATTCGCGATTAAATACATCATAAAACAACAGCGACGAACAAAACAAAAAAACAAAAAACAAAAAAACA